GTTACACTAACACCCTCTTTCATATAAAACCTGTCTTCATGCCCAGGAATCCAAACAACCTCATACTAACTCAAGAGACATAAAAGAAGTCAGCAACCACCCTCATAATTGCCACCTGGAGTGGACCTTTGGTCTAGATGGGCAGGGTATAAATTTCAATACATAAATAAAATAAATAAATAAATATAGGCATATAGGTCGATAAATAAATAAAATAAATAAATAAAAATAGGCATATAGGTCAGTAAATATTTTCTTGAACTGGTTTCAGAATATTAGAGGAAGCACAGCTTTGCCTGTTCAGTTCCACTACAAACATGGTCAGGCCAGCTTTAAAGTCTTGCTGCAAGTAAACAATGAAGGAGGCAAAACAAGACCAAGTTTCATTTTTCACCTCAAAAACAAAGAAAACCGCCCCCGTTTTTCTGCTCAGTAACTCCCAAGAGTGCTCATATAAACAGCTGTGAGTTAAACAGCAGTGAGTATATGACCTGTGTCACATTTCTGTCTGCCCCATTGTGTCTACCTCTGAGTGCCTCAGACCCCATTGTGTTTGATTTCCCCCTCAACAGTTTTGCTGCTTTCGGGAAAATCATGGGAGAAGTGTGAAAATAAACTAGCATGTAAAAATAGCCCCTTCCACCTTCAGCATTATTGTTTGAGATGGAGCGGGAAATCTTCCCATAGATATTAAGAACATACACAACAAAAGTGGATCATAATCACTCAATACATAGTATGCACATGCCAAGGGAGGGACATCCCCTTTCAGGTTGTGGTGCCCCCCCCTTAACCTTTTCTTTTCAAAGAATTTTATTAGAGAACAGATTATTGGAGAGTAGACATAGGAAAAATCAAGGATGGGGTTTGTGGATTTAATTCAGCTTGGAAACATCATCCTTTTCGACTCTAATTCCCAGAATACCCCAGCCATCTAAATTGGTGTACTCTAATAGTTGCAGTTTTTTTTTAAAAAAAAGAGTTTCATTAATAGTCTCATCTTTTTCCCCCCAGAAACTTCAGCACTAGTAGAAATAATAAAGCTTTGATCCGGGGATTAAAATAGCTGATCCGTAATGAAGCCTGATTTTCAAATCAAACTGAGCATTTATATAACTTGCCTGGATACTATTTTACATTTTTCATATATCTTCGAAAATCGTTACACTAGTATAAAGGCTATCTAGAAATACTTATAACGCTGTATGTTAGGTCAGTATTTTTTTTATCCTCTGGATTGCATGTGGAGAAAACAGAGGCTCAAAGAGCATGGGGCAAAACTAATAAAGAATCCTGTGGTACCTCATATACTAAAAGTTTTATTTGGCATAATATTCCAAGGGCTACAACAAACCCATCGTCGGGTCCAATTGATTTGCCGATCAGCGGCAGAAGTGAAATTCAAACCATGTTTCACAATTCCTTTTCTTAATTACTCTTATCAAGAGGTATCATCCACTCCTGTATTCTTCAGGACCTGATCGGGCCCTTTCCTTTTCTCGTTCTAGATTATATAAAATACCATTGATATCCGGATACAGTACCACCTACAAAACAGAGTGGACTTTCAACACCAGCCACGTGAATTCTTCATATCAACCAGAGATAACCAGAGCATGAACTTATGCTCTCCAGGTGAAAACATTAAGCTCACTTTCCGTATGGCACAATTGGCTGTTTATACCTGATGAATGAACCAAATTGTGGGCCCCGACTTGTGCTGAAAGTTGTTGTGTCTTTGTCTTTCTCCACCCCCACAGCTAACGGAAACTTTGTTTCAAGCAAACGATGTGAGAAAATGTGTGTGTGTGTGTGGGGGTGATCACAAAGTAAGTTGGCAGCCTTTTGGTCTCAAGAGCCAGGGTGTAAAAATCCCAAAGCTTGCCACACAGACAGTAAGAGATCCAGCCCAAGAAGAATTGGCTATTTTTGCCAAATACACATATAACATCAATTTCTGGACAATCTTTTTTTTTTGCACCATCCATGAATCAGGTGTGCTTAGAGCCTGAGGAAGTGGATTCCATCCATGACAGCTTGCTATTTGTTTTATTTTTATTGGTCCAATTAAAGGGATCACCCACTCTTGCATTTGTCCTATCAAGAGGTTACTTAGGAAAAAGTACACAAAATCCTTCAAAAAAGGTTCTGCTTGAATGGAAGATATGGTTTTAATTTAGGGGAATATATAATAGATTTTTTAAAAATAAAATACTCTGTGTGCAAAACAATAAAACTTGAGGGATAGAGTCTCACAGGGTAGGCTGTCTACACAATCACTTAGGAGTCTGAGGTAAATTACACATAACTGTGGCAAATCTGGCTGTTCAAACCCAGGTGTGCCCTAAATGCACATGAACTAGGCCACAGTTAATTTTGTTGGTCAAAAGGAATATGTAGGAAGAGTGTTTTTACACTCCTCCTGCCCTGCACACAGTTTATCTCCCCACAAATTTCTTCCTTAAGCCGCCTTTCTCCTCCATCAAGCTCCCTCTCCAAAAGGAATCTGAGAGAAAAAGGTGGAGAAAAGAGGCATTCACATCAGGAGGAATTGTGAGGAAGTTTCAGGATCCTTTATTTGTACCTCCTTTTGAAGCTCAAAATTGAGCACATTTTGTTTTAAGCTCCTTTGACTATCACATCTACTTCGGTCCCTAGAATCATTGCTGTGTTTACACCACCCTTCCTCAACCAGGTTGTCTTCCAATGTGGGAGTGTACAGCTCTCAACTTTCCCACTGGCTAGGGATGATGGAAATCCAAGTGCAAAATACCAGAGGGCACCAAGTTCAGGAAGGTTTTGCACACACCCACAGGGCTCCAGCTGAGATATCTGAAGAAACATGTGGGAGCTACAAAACCCTATTTCCATGCTTCAGTTGGTTCTGAGCATAGTGACTATGACTGTTGTCTTTGACAGACACAGCCTAGCTAGGCCAGAGCCAAAACAGAAGCCGACTGAGACAGGTCAGGGACTTAACTGGGTTCCTTCAAGAGGGTTTCTCCAGTCATCTCAAAAAAGGAGAAGAAAGCTAAACCAAGATTCAAACTACTTTTTAAAAAAACCAACATAATATGCCTAGGAGCATTTTAACAGGATTTCACTAAAACAGGTCTGATATTCTTATATTTGTGCATTGTTTGAGAGAGCAGGAACACACATATAATTAGAGGATGAAAGTTGGGGACTGTTTCTTCTGGCAAAGTCTCTCGGAAGGGCATTGGTAAGAACAATAACTGATTAGGAGATGTAAACATTTCTTTCTAATTAAATTCATTTATCGTAACCACAGCATTCCAACTGCATAACTAGAAGTTGTAAGCAAGGCATTTGCTGATTCAATTCCCCCCACTCATAGCTACTCCCTCGCACAGTACCATATATTGGAGGAGAACATACACAAGATACACCTGAGGTGAGGCAGAAAGGTTTTGATGATGCAAAATGCACTAGGCTCAGTCTGGCATTGCAATTAGGTTTAACCTGAGCTGGACTGGGAAGGATGTGGACTTCTAGAAAGCTGTGAGTCTGCCCTTTCCTTGTTCCCATTTTCTGTGCCTTCCTCTTGCTGAATGGAGTTACAAAGAATGGAGTTATACTGAAATATTCATTTACTCAAGCATTTATACACTGCCTTTCCTCGTGGAATCCAAAGTGGTTCACAACAAAGACGATGCAACAATTAATTACAACAGTGCACCAATTTGAAAATAATTGACCATAACAACAATAATTGTGTGCCATTAGATCAACTCTGATTTATGGCAACCCCTTCCATTGTTTTCTAGATAAATAAATAAATAAATAAATAAATAAATAAATAAATTTGAAAACAATTGACCATAACAACAATAATTGTGTGCCATCAAATCAACTCTGATTTTTGGCAACCCTTTCCAGTGTTTTCTAGATAGACAGTACTCAGAAGTGGTTTACCATTCCCTTATTCTGGGGGCACCCTGGGATTGTGCAGCTTGCCCAAGGTTACCAGGGCTGGCTCCTCTCCCAGGTGGCACAGTAGGGTATTGAGCTCCCAACCAGATACCAAACTCAGCTATCCAGCCAGCTAACAATAACTATGTATGTATGTGTTCTGTGCCATCAAGATGGAACCTACTTATAGCCTTATACACTGTTCTCCATAGTTCTAGTCTGTCACTCTATACACTGCACCACACTGGGAATCGTCCTGTACTATCCATACATGTGTTTCCATAAATAACAAACAGTCAGTTTCCTTTTTTTCCTTATTACCAGTGTCCAGAGCAATTATCACAAACTACAGCATTAGGCTACACTGTACTTTGGAGTGGCTGTAGCTGGCTCAGCTTTCAAGAAGATTGCTACTGGCCAGAACACTTGTTTCAGCTACCCCATTATTGTTTTAATACTTTGTAGAAAGACCAGAGCCCCTAAAGGCAGCTGGATATTACGAGCTCATTCCCAAACTCCCCATGTATATGGTCCAAAAATCTAGCCCATAGAGGTTGAGAAATTTCTTTTAATCTTTCTTAAGAGCCAAAACTTCAGTTGCAGCCCACGTACAGATGGATTTCCCTTTAAAGTCTGTTTGTGCATAGGCTGTGCTACAACAGACAGGCAGACAGACAGACAGACAGACTTGGCAACTTACATAAACATCAAGCAAGTTTGTCTACAGTTTTTTGAGGATACTGGACTGCTTAGTACTGGATAGTTCATGCTCAATGCCATGTAGCAATTTTGCCTCAAAGGCCAAATTCTGAAGTTACTGAACAGTTACAAGCCTAGTAAAGGCAGATTTTTGCCCAGGGGTCTAAATTGTCAGAGAAAGGACAAAAGACACAAGGGACCGTTTAATGTTAAAATGATTAGCCTTAACTCACAAAGGGACTAGAAAGCAGGGCAGGAAAGAAAAACAGTTAATCATTTTGATCTTGGCCTCTCTGCTTTTCTTATTCCTCTCCCACAAGTCATTTTTCTGTTTTAATTATCTGCATTCCTCATTCCCATCTTGGCAGGTTAAGCCCTGGATCGTTCTCTAGCATGCATCGTCTGTTTTGCTGTCTATGGAGTAGTCATCGGAACCAGTACTGGTATTTTACGGCCAGATATATTTTAAGGTAAGCACCAAAACGACATAAAAATGGGATCTTTTGAAGAATGGGATCTTTTGATCATACAAACTCTTCTATTACACCACAGATTGTAGATGGCAGCAGACAGCTGATAATATCAATTTGTGGTTTGGAACATCCCTCTATTGAGATCGCTAATACATCAGCATTAAAATGTTATGGGTAAATTAAGTGGCAGTTGTAGCTAGCAATTCAAATAAGTGGAAGTACAGCTTAGATGGCATAATAAAGAGCCTGAAAGGATCATAGACCTATGGAGCTGAGTAATTATACCATGTACCACAAATAATTTTCTGTACCAAAAGTAATTTTCAGAATTCTCACTCAAGAGGCACTCAGATTTCATCCTTAAAAAAATAGATTAAGAAATATTTCCCAGTATTCTGGTTTTCAAATAAATTAGGACTTTGAGGTGCAAATCAGAGCAAAGGACAAGAATGGAAAGGATCCGTGATCGCGACTAGAAATATGTGGCTGATGGGAAAAGGAAGGAAGGAAGAATACTGTGGTCTGAAAGCATGCAGGCCTAAACCAAGTTGTGTAGGCCTTGTACGATTAGTTCCAACCTACTGTGACACTTATCTTTCCCTCCCCAGGAGTACAAAAGAGAAGGAGGCCAGGAGTCAGAGATAGAAAAGTATTCATACTATGTACCTGAGTGATGCTATGAATCGATAGGTTACCCACCTGTAAAGGTAGGTCAGAGTCTTGGGCCAACGGCCGACAAACGCGTCTCCCTGGGAATGTTTTGCTATTCCTGCTCAGGAGCAATTCAGCTGGCATTTCCAATTCGCCCAGAAGGCAAAGAGATCGAGAGTCGGTGTGCCCCATTTCCGGCATAGTTGGTGGAATGCTGATTGATCTAGTTCCCACTCGTGAGCTTGGACATCTGTACGAGTGAGCGAGTATGCTAGGTTGTTGTCTTGACCAGCAATGAGCATTGGTTTTGTCTTGTTGTAGACAGACAACTGTTTAGCTCGTTTAGAATGAACAGGCTCCTGAGCTGGAGCAGCTTTGGTTGGTATCTGACATTTAGAGGTTGTTTTCAAAGTCGAGGACTTCGGTATGGAGGGTTTCAATTTGTGTGTTTTTGAGGTCTTAGACGATGAAGATGGAGAATCGGAATGAGTTGGTGTAGCCGATAGACGTTTTGATGATTCAGTAGCAGCTTTTTCCATTACTTTGGTTCGAGAATCGGAATGAGTTGGTGTAGCCGATAGACGTTTTGATGATTCAGTAGCAGCTTTTTCCATTACTTTGGTTCGGGAACTGGCCCTACAGGGAGGTTGGGCCATTTGAACTGGTTGTAAGGATTGTTCCCAAAGTCGGAGTTTTAGCCCTGAGAGGCGAGATCGAAGAACTCTGTGCTTAAAATTTTTGCAGTGGGTACAGGAAGAAGTTTGATTTTGATGTTGTTTTTCCAAACAGAAAAGGCACTTAACATGTCCATCGGAAAGTGGGATCTTATTATCACAGACAATGCAGTGCTTAAATGGGCCCAAAGGGGCCATGAATAGGAGAAATAGTTGAGGAGACAAACCAATGATTGAAGGTAGGGTGCTACGGCTGGAGGCCGAGCAAGGGGAAAGGAAAAAAAATCTCTGATGATAATGAATTAAACTAATAGTTTAAAAGAAAAAGATTGATAACAGGAAGGAATCACGAATAAGCTCTCTTTCTTTTTACTCACAGAAGCAGAATTATGAGGCTCTCAACGCGGCGGTTGAAAGAAACTGAAAGGGGACACTTGGCGCCAAGCTACTTATACAGGTGGGGAGGGGCATATTCTAATGCGTTTATTGGTACTGCAGAAGCTCTAGAATCATCCAATGAGGCTCCACGCAGGCACAAATCACCCAGGGTGTGATTCACAGAGGCCACAAAGAAGAACTTTTATTACACACTATACAGCTGAATTTGTGAATTAGGTAAATACTATACTATTAGAAGGCCTTCTTCCTGCAACAAACACTCACCATTGCATTATTTCCTTCTCACTGGTTTCCTTAAATTATTTCCAATCCATCTTTTAAATTCAGCTTGCAAGGTAGTATTTTTAAATGTTAATAATATTTTTAAATGTTTAATATTTTTAAATGTTTAATATTTTTGAATATTAAAGCATAACGATTTTTAAAATATGTTTTTTAAAATAAAAATGGTTAAATAAAAATAGTCTACTTGCTGCCTTAATACAGATACAAGGAGGGGAGAATAGGGAGATAGCCTCCATACATTTCCTCTCTGCCCAACACTAAGTAGGGACAGGATCATGTTCGCACTTCCAGTCCTGGAGCTGGACTAATGCCACGGAAGCATTAGTGTTGGTAGATCCCTCTTGTTCCACTGACACTGTGTTTTCCGGCACAACAGGAGGCGCCTGACTCTGCCTAGATAGAGGATCGACGCAAACTACAGAATCCCCTCAAATTAATTTTAGGGTTGTTCTTTTTCAAATGATTTAATTTCTGCCTGGAAAATTTTAACCTACACATACCAGATACTGAAACCAACACCGTTCATATTTATGTCTCCCTCTGCCAACAAATCAACCCGCTTTCCCACTACAGGATCTCTTCTGGCCCAAAGCTAAAAAGCAAAAGATTACTTTAAAAACGATTTTTTAAAAAAATTGCAGACAGCATTTAGATAAAAACACCAGTGACTTCATCCTCCCTGAATACACACCCTTTTGATAAAAGTATTCAGAAGAGGTCAGGTCAGTCACCCTACTGGTCTAGCCAGTTTGGTCTCTTTTAAGTGCAGCTTCTATATAAATGTTGAATGCTAATATTCATGAATAGCCATTATTCAAGGGACGCAGTAGATCTACCCTGTCTCGGCAGTTCCCTTTCGTAGACCTGCAGCACACTGTCTAGACAAAAGTCTGCCTCTGTTTACCCTCAGCACCTGTGTTTTCCAAAACAGACCCTTCGTGCTAGCTGGCTTTCATTCTCTCCTCCCTGACAAAATGCCACCTTATCTCTCTGCGCCATCTTCTGTGTGGTCTATAAAATAAGTCGCTAAAGAGATGGAGCTGGGATTAAGAGCTCCCTGCTGGATTCCTTCCCCCACCCCAGCCCCACAACCTAAGGCCAAATTAAAGTCAAAATCCAAGCCCCATTAATTTCAACGGAGCCAATATGGGTGCAAAGCTTTTGAGATGCGGGCTGCCTTTGTGTGCAAATTCGTCACGGGTGGACTGGCCATTAACTGGATGTAACCAGAGCTTTTGGGGCTGGCAGTCACTTGATGCTGTTACCAGCCAGAGAGTGACCTTTGTGATCAGAGGGAAAAATGTCACATTGGTCTTCATGATTGATAGAAATTCCTTTGCCAGGTCTTAGTGAAAGCCAGAGGGCAAAAAGAAAAACCTGAAGTACCTTACTTGTGACTCTTGAGATAAGATGGCCCAAGATCTAAATGCCCACGTTATTTATACAGGTGGGTGAAATATAACAGGCTCATGAAAGACAGTAGAGAGATGACCAAAGAGGCTGTCACAAGCTGTAATCGGACTAGAAATGTCCAATTTCTGGAAATGTTATAGAGAAGACTGGGTTTTCCTCTGGAATCTCCTACTCACAACAGAAATTTGGAGGGAAACTGAAATATATGCAAAATTTCCTTTCAAATCAAACCTAAACTTATTTTAAATGTTTCATTCACAATTTAGCCTTTGAAATTCTACTATTTGGCATATTTATGACATTCAGAAATATCAAAGCTTTAGTTTAGGATAAGCAGAATTGTTAATAAAAGCTGTACTGAATAAAGAGCTGTAACTGTAGTCTGAACTGTAGCTGTAATCCCTGCATGATCCTAAATCTATTTACATGATACAGCAGCCCGAAAGTGCAGAAATGGATCTCACATCTGAGTGTCGTACATGTCCACAATATGCACAGGAATGACTGTTCCTTAACTCTGTAGACTGCTTTACTTACAAATCTTCACATGACACAATTCTTGGCACTGTTCCCTGCCCCCTCCCAGCTTGGTCACGAGCCACCTATGACTAATACAAAGCCTGAGGCTTACAGTACACATGACTTTATATATTCATTTATTTGAAGCAACTATATTACACACCTCGTTAGCAATGATTTCAAGGGGAAGCAGAACCATTAAAAGAAATAATAGAAAAATTAAAACAACTGTTGACGATCAGAGACTTCACTGTTACATATTAAAATCACACCTTTCCTCTGAAGAGCTCACAACAGTGTTGAGTGTAAGGGACATCCTCACAATTTTTGTCCTCACAACAGGTTTGGCTGAGGAACAGCGGTCAAAGAATGAATGTCCCCAGCCAAGTGGGGATGGGAAGCCAGGTCTCCAAAGTGTAAAGTTCTTGCTACTAGTGCTCATAAAACAACAAGAACAAAAATTAATAAAGATCATACTACTTAATATCATTTTTCAATATATTTTTAAAAATCCCTGTGTTATTCATTTTTTAAAAAGGGTTTCCTATGTTTCAAAGTCAGCAAAGTGGAGGCAATTGCACCTTGTGAAAGAAATATTCAACTGCTGGGGCACCACAGTCAAATTGTGTTCGTTGTATTTTGCACAACATGACATTTCCAGACCATTTTCAGAGTCAGTCCTACATGCAATGTATTACAATCATGCAGATGAAATGCTACCACAGCTAAAACAGTCAAAAAGCACTCAAAAATGGGACCTCAAAAAGCAGCGTGGGATAAAAGATCAACCCCAAGTTGTCATAGGCCTCTTTCAAAGTAGAACTTGCCAGTTTAGCCCACCCTTGAACCCATTAGGGGTGTGTAGTTTACCCTCACCTTTGTGAAACTGCTGTAATTTAGTGATGCAATATTAGCAACAAAAAGAAAAAAGAAAAAAAGAGGGGGAAGCAATTCTCTTAGCACTATTCACCTTGAAAACATGGTGTGTGCACCCTGTGCACACAGTTTTCAAGATAAATTGCTCCTTTTTTGTTGGTGTGGTTACCTATTTGGTAACAATGATGGGGGCAACAAGGGACTGAAAAATGGGAAATGTCCCTTGAACCTGCAGGACCCTATGTTGTCTGTTGTCTGCTCCTGTTTCAGGTGGAGTAAAACAACTCTCGCCCAGAAAGCTGGAGAGCTGTGCTTCATAAGATTGCCAATTCAGCAGGAAAACTTAGGCAAACATGTCTAGCTCAGCCTCAACCCATTCATAGGAAATACTGTACAGAAATACTATTTCTGTCCTATTTTATTTATTTGTCTTATTGATAGGCCCCTTTTGTCCTGGTAAGGGGACTCGAGGCAGCTATGAGGAAACTTACAGAACTGTCGTAAGCAGGAATTGCCCAGAGATTATGCGCATAATATAATGTGCAAGTTTATTCTACCTGATTACGATCTTGTTGTGGGCAGACGAATACCATTAACGAGAGTTTGGTTTTTTTTGGAAATGGTTACTACAGTTTTGTTTGGACTGTATGGCTTTTAGGCTGTAATCCATTTTGAATTTCCTCTTGTGGTGTGATGCAGCAGATAGAGTGATGGAGTAGCACTCTGGGGAACAGGGTTTGAATTTCCACTCACTGGGGAAGTGGGACTTGGTATGGCATTCGCCGAGTTCATGAATATTCATATGCTGTTTGCATAGACCAATGGGAGTGCTGGAGGGGCGGAGTCACGAGGTATAAGAGACTCCGCAGCAGGAGGATAAGGTTTAGATAGGGTTTGGAGATGGAGAATTAGAGAGTTAGAGAGTTGAGAGAGCTGTGGAGTTTGGGCGGGAGAATGGTAGTTGAGTAAAGAAGAATGTTTGTTTAATAGTTAACAGCATTGCTTGTTCTGTCAACAGCTGTGTTAATAAACAATTTTTATTTGGTTCCTTTAAAGTGGCATATGGCCTCGACCTCTATTATTAATACAGTGGTGCCCCGCTTGACAACGATAATGCGTTCTGTTAAAATCGCTGTTATGCGAAATCGTCGTCAAGCGAAAGTAAAAACCCCATTGAAATGCATTGAAAACCGGTCAATGCGTTCCAATGGGGGAAATACCTCATCGTAAAGCAAAGATTGCCCATAGAGAACCGCCGATCAGCAGTATTCCCTGTAAAAAACCCGGCATTTTGCGAAGGGAGGGAAGCCATTTTCAGAGCCAGAAAAAACGATGTCAAGCAAAAAAACCCATTGGATTGCAAAAAAACCATCGTAAAGCGATTTCGACCATCATGCGGGGTAAGTGTCAAGCGGGGCACCACTGTAATAGGTATTGTTGATGAAATCAACTGGTGGCAGCTGAGGGGCATGTAGCGTGAGCTCCTAGTTTGGTGAAACAATCAGCGGCCATGTGGAATTGTGACAACTGGTAAAACCACTTCTTAAATATCTCACTTATCTTGAAAACCCTATTAGGGTTGTTGTAGGTCAGTTTCGACTGGACGGAACATCACATACAGAGAGACAGAAAAGTGTATATGACAGTGGAAATACACTGAAGTTGAAATGAATTTGTCTGAATTCAAGCTGATCTATTATATTGTTAAAACTATAGGGTTGAAACCAGCAACACCAAATATTCATAATCTGCAAAATTTATTTTTTTAAAAAACCAGAAATCCCAGAATCCTCCTGAAAGCATAACCAATGAGCATGCTATCAGGGGCATTCTGGAAGTTGTTGTCTACAAATAAAACAGTCAGACTTTACAAACATCCATGCCTCTAAGAATGTCACTACAGTGGTGCCTCGCATAGCGACGTTAATCCATGCAGCAAAAATAGCTGCTAAGCGATTTCGTCGCTATGCGATTTTAAAAAGCCCATAGAAATGCATTAAAACCCGTTTAATGCGTTCCTATGGGCATAAAACTCACCTTAAAATGAAGATTCTCCATACGGCGGCCATTTTCGCTGCCTCTTAAGCGAGGAATCCGTCCCTACCCACAGCAGGCGGCTATTTTTTTTACCTGGTGGCCATTTTGAAACCGCCGATCAGCTGTTAAAAAATCATCACTTTGCGATGA